CCTACGGATTGGCTGGTCTAGCCTAGGTCTAGTAATTTTAGGTGGGGTCTGGATGTTTTTGAAAACTTTATCTATTAAAAATTGCTATGTAATACATAGACAAATTCGTAGAAATACCTTCAGTCGTTATTTTATTTAAATAATAAAGTAATATAACTAATTCCTATGCGAGGACAAATTTGAGAATTACACGAGGGGTCTCGTTATTGGATACAGGTTACAAACTAATGGCGAGTAGTTTGGCAGATAGGCTTAGTACTTGAGTTGACAGTGAAAATAAGTTAAAAGAAATTCAGGCAGGATTTAGAAGAAAGAGAGCGGCGAGGGATTACGTGTTTGTGCTGAATTCGCTAATAAATAATATGTATATTAAAGGTAAAGAGAAGCAAACTGTACGTCGAATTCGTAGATTTTAAAGCTGTGTTTGATAAAGTAGATTAAGGACATTTTACGGGACAAACTTTGGAAAAGCGGAGTATTCATGTGTTTTGTTAGGGAAATTTACAGGCATACGAGTGCTGATATTCAGCTGAATAGTAGAATTTGATACCAACAATGGAGTAAGACAGGGGTGTACTTTAAGTTCTAAATTGTTTAGTATAGTCATTGACGACATACATGACAAATAGGACGAAAAGAAGAGGAAGGGTTGGTAATAGACAAATTTAAAATAATATAATCTAAGTATGTATCAGCTGTAATTTAAAAATAAAGTGCACCTAAAGCAGGTGCTGGATACATACCATTTAGTATACAAAAATGGAGCGACAAATTTTCTCTTTTGTTTATGTTAGGCGAGTTAGATCTTTAACGGTCCATTCCCCTCAAATAATCCCCTAACAATCAAACAAATGATGAATTATCAAATTACCTACGTTTGTGGGCACCCGCACAGTTTTTATATATTTGTAGTTACTTTGTATTTAGGAGTTGTATTGCGTTAGTTCTGATAATGTTAGTTGATTTAAATTGAATTAAAAATGTAAATAAAGATACCAAGGGCATCTTGGGCTGAAACTAAATTCAATCCCAAGGACAAGTCAAATTCACTCCCATTGACCAGGCCATAGGTGGGGAATCTTGTTACCATTAGATGTCAGATTTAAACAGGGCACCGCATATTGATATTTACGTAATTTTATTAATTTTCACATTATTGTCGTCTTTATCATTAAATATTAATTAATACAACAGTTTGATTTTATGAAGGCTGCAAAAGAAACCCACTGGGACCGCCACTGATCTAAATTGTATTACCTTCCGAAAAGGGTCGAAAGTTTATCTTCTTCTTGATAAAATTGTGTTTGTCTATTTCATAAAACATTTAAAATGTTTGTGAGGAAAGGGAACTGTTAATTATTGTCATTAGTTTGCCAAAATTGAATCCCTTGAGTTCATATTTTATAATTCAATTTTTGAGGTTAAGGTACTGCAATTTGGTAAAAACAAGCTCACAGAATTCATCAAACGGATATAATATGTACCTTTTTAAAGATAGCAATATAATAATGCCACATAAACAATTCTCATTAAATATTGGATAACGCACTAACAATAAGTTAGATCTAATTGTAAGTTTAAATCGAACATTCGCGTATAAATTCTCAATTTCTTACCTCATTTGATGCACGATTCATATTCTATTCTAATCATAGTTCGAAACCGACTGCTGCACTACATTTCAACTTCATATCACGTCTAGTCAATATTAATTTCTGCATTGTATTGCCATAACTTTATAGAGCACGCTGCATTGCACACGTTGATTAACTGGTGTCTGTAATGGCGGATGAACTAGCGACGATACAAACAACTCTGCAGTTGAGCCAGAAAGGACGGAATAACATGAAGTTTTTTGTTAAAGGTTTACCGTAAAAACACTGCTAAATTATGACTTACGATTACAGTTAGGTACACTTCGGAAACAATATCGTGTAGGTAACGTGTTTGACGAATTTTAAACGGCAGGTAAAAACGAACTACAATGTAATTGTGAAACAACTCGACAAAGTGACCTGATCCTATACGCGTGTGATTGGTCACTAGCCACAGTCTTATGCCGACTTTACACGAGAACGAGTAGGGAGGTTAAAGCTCAAGCCGAAGGCGTACAAACGCAGCATAATAAGACTCTGTCACGGTCTGCCACTTTCACAGCATGTATTTTATGCAAATCTGGTTTAGAATAAAATATTTTGAGACGAAATTATTATTGATAGCTGTAATTTGACAATTTCTTTTGACGCTTTTTAACATGTTTTATTCACAGAAAGTATTAGTTTTATATATTTCCTAGTACAATATCAGAATTTTATACAATTCGTATGAAATGTATACATTTCCCGGGATATGTGTGTATTAAAAAATCCTTGAAACAATATTTTATAGATTTTCCAAATAGCCTCGGAATTGTATACAATTCCTAGATTTCGTACATATATATAGATAAATACAGTCATTGTTTTACTGAAATTCATCTAAAATCGATCGTTATAGATAAGTATCGAAGAAAATGCAAAGAACAAATGAAACAGCTTGCTTTAATAAAAACCTCATGACATTACACATTTCATTTTTGTGGTTTGGATGGCATTTTAATGTGTTTTTTATACATGTTATTTGTACTATGTGCAATAACCAGCGTGCCATTTTTCTGACAGTAAATAATTCCGGACGAAAATTTTCCGGCGCGAATTTTCCGGCGGTTAAATATACCGAAAAGTCAAATTTACGCGAAATAATATTTCACAAAAATTTATTTATGCATGTCTGAAAATAATTTTGTTTAAATTTGGTCGACTTAGGTTAGTTTGTGTCGTAGAACGTTAGGTAGGGTAGGTTCCTCCAATAGGTAGCTGTAATAAGTATACATAAGTCTGTAAACGTGTTAATTCGTAGGCAGAATCGCAGTAGACGTTATGATATAATAATCCTAGCGAAAAACCGGAAAAAAGTCCACTGGAAAAATGGAGACAAAAATTTCCCAGGAAAAAAATCAGAATTTTTTATTTTTAAAGTTGGTACTGTCAAAAGGGACAGCTTAATCCTACCTTTTCAATAAACTTTTCGTCCGATTTCTTTTACCTAATTTTTTCGCATTCGTATATTAATTGATTAATTAAGTAGATATCTATTAAGGTTTTCTTGCTTTGGCTGTGCAACGACTACAGCAATAACTAATTATGAATTGTAAATGTATATAACTATCAATTATTTTGTCTATTGCTCTGTAATGCACTTTACTTTGAAGTAATTAAAATATTATTTTCTTCTTTTTAGTTTAAGTTTGTAGGTACATGTATTAGGTAAAGTCTCGAAGTCGGTTTTTGTTTTATCCTAAAAATTAACTTTATTTTCAATTTTCAGCATGTATATATTTTTAGTTTTTATTGATGCTTTTCAAAAAACGCTGAATTAATTTCGATAAGATTTATATGGTACCACCTTTGAAGTAGTATCAAACAAAATAAAGTCATCAAAATCAATTCATAACTGGTAGAGTAATTGTGTATCAGACATACAAAGAAAATATACACTCGAATTGAAAACCTCCTCCTTTTTCGAAGTGGGTTTATAAAAATTAATGTAGACAAAAGATAAGTACAGCCCATTTCAATTTGTTTGAATTGTGGCCTTGAAGAAATCTGCGCGAAGATAGAAAGAATACACACTAGGCGTGAGCAAGACAGAAATGGTTGGAACAAGCTTGAACGAGCAGAGCTCTCGTTGGGCGGTCTTAGGAGATCGGCTAGAACTGTACAGTACTAGACGAAAATGTTTAGCAATTTCTTAAAACAGAAACGTATATAAATTAACAATAGAAAACAAAGCAAAAGTTTTATAGGTGTGTAGAACGTTAAGTTAATTCACTTGTTATTATTTTTGGCTAAATATGCTTTTAAATAAAGCATATTCTTAAATTTTAACGAGGCAGTTTAAATAATTTTGCAAATGGTACTGTACACTTTTGTCTAACTCTCGCTCGATGATCGGTGTAGAAATGAACTCCACAGACAAATATGATTGAATTTGGAATTATTCTACGGCGCATCCTAATAAAGGGAAGCGGCATATCTCCAACTTCTAGAAACGAACAGTACATATGCTTATTTGTTGTTTTACTTGTACAGATATACATACACGACTTTTACGAAGTACCAACAATTGATTCCACTCCTCAACACGATTGGGATTATATAGTGGAACAATTGTCATTCTCAATGAAACAAACGTACACAACTAACGATACCCGACAATTGTCAATCAAGCAGCGACACTGCGTGTTCGACGACGAAGTAAAATTGGAAGTCGAGGATATTTATACGTTTTCCGGATGCACGAGGCAATGCAGGATGAAAAATTCGATAAGAAAGTGTCGTTGCGTTCCACCTTTTTATCTGAATATCAGAGGTTATCGAGTCTGTAGGTCGGACGAGGTGCAATGCATCGTCGATAATTTAATGGAGATTATGGCAGTCGACAACTGCGACTGTCAGCTGAGATGCTTCAACACGATTTATGAAGTGGAAAAGATGAAGATAGGAACACAAAGGTAACTTGCAATACAGATAACGTTTCTGCAGTTAAAATAGTAAGAGACTGCGGTTACGTCATCGACATAGTCTATACTAGGGGTCGTCAAGTAATTTTAAGTGGGGTCCAGATGCATTTGAAAATTTTTATCGAAGTCCAGAAAAAATATATTCCTTCCTCCAAAAAATGATAAGGGTGGGGCTCAAAGCTCAAGAATACGTTGTCATCTCATCATTATTATCATAAGGTCAAACCGAGGGTTTCGTACAAACTTGTAAGTATGTAAATAGTTAGTCCATCACGGGAATAGAGTCCCGAAGATTTTTTCCGTTTGTTCTAAATATGCTCTAAGTTTCCCTACAAAATTAGCCCCCAAAACATATAATCACCATTTGTATTCATCATCATAAGGTAGTCTGTCCTAAGACTAGTTGGACACGCACCTGCACTCATTCCTATTTTGACCTTCGCGTTTCCCTTAAATAATTTATTTGAGTAATTTACTTTCAAAAGGTTTAGTTTTTGTTCTTCCGCGGTCCGGATCTGGACCGCGGTTCACCACTTGCTGACTGTTGGTCTATAACAAAGATGATGCCCAACCCCAATGAATTGTAAATGGCCCGCGTCAAAAAGTTTCAAAATTTTCGCCAATTTAAAAGAGAAGCCTAATACTGTTATCATGAACAATAAAGAATTATGAAACTCAAATTAGATCCCTATTACAGTTGTTTGAGAGCAAAATTCCAGGACTTATTAATTAATTAATTTTTGCTGGTCTTTTTATGATCATATTTACTGAAATAATAATTAATCAGTTATCCTGCCAAAAAACCAGCTAGAAATCGGTGTACTGCAAAATCATTTTGCACTATAAAACTTTTTTGCGGAAAAAATCTTCAAAGTCATAAACTTCTTTAGAAGAATTTCTGGAAATTGTTGCCAAAGAAAGACTCCTGCAATAACTGCTCTGGTTTTTCAATTTTTAAGTAGATTTTGATCAACACATGCATTGCATTGTAAAGAGTTGTTTAAATCTTAATTTTGTAAACATATAAATGTTAATATTGAGCAATGCGCAAATACAAAATTTAGCATTTCGCTTTATTTTATAGCAATTTCACTGCAAAAATGGAAGCAAGTTTTGTCTCCTGGCCAATGGTTAAGTATAAAAGGGAAGTATTGTTTGGATGGGTTGACTTACTGGGTAAGTTTCTAAAGTAAATGAATTTTATTTTAAATCATTAGATCTCAATTAAGTCGTTTCGAAGAGTAGTCCAAACAGACACGTAGACAAACATGATACTTTTTCTTTTTTATTAGCATACAAATGAATATATGAAATTTAAAAAATTTATTTTGATGTTTCATACACTGCAATTTTGTTTATACAAGATGATCCTGGAGGAATAGCAAATATTTTGTGAGGTGGTATTAGTATTGACAATTTTGAATAAAATGTAAAAAGTGTTCGAAAATGCTTCATTCTAGAGATGCATGATTTTAAATGTTTCACGAAAAATTAATTATATCTTCTCAAAAAACAGTTTTACACAATCTTGCAAAATATTACAGTAAAACTTCCTTGAATGGGGGCAACGCTATATAAATGTGTGAGGGTAGGTTTATAAAAAAAAGAAAAATTCTTAGAAGTGATGACAAACTAATTTGATACTTTCAAAGTACAATCGAAAATCTAACCCAACGAAATTAGTGAAATTGCCAATGGTCAGGATGATAATCAGTTTATTTATACCAACGATCAAAAACCACTTAAATCATTAAATTATATAAAAGTTTTCTGAGAGGTTTCGATCTGGACCATTTAGACCCTTATCAATTGCAATTCTATAAGATGGAAAACGCGTTGTTAACGATTTGAAACAAAGTGGGGTAAAAGAACAATCATGCAAAAACATACAAAGTCAAATGCAAACCTTAGTAGCCACCCATTATTAAGGTTACTAGGACTATCATTATCATCATAAGGTCGTCAGTCCTAAGACTGGTTGGATACCTAGGACTATTGCTGAGAAAAATTCCTTTTTTTTGGTAATTTTAAGTAATCTTGTACGTCGCTGCTCGCAATCTTTGGAAAATCCGTATAATATCCTGAATATACGAGATCCGTTCAAAAAGTATCGCAAATTTTGGATTTCCGCGGGTTACGTACGAGGGTGGATTGATAAGTTTCCGGCCTAACCAAGAGATGACGCCACTAGGCCTACCTTGAGGTGACATTCTATAGTACCATCCTTGGATAGCTTGTAGCTATAGTTTCAGCCCGATCTCCTTGCTAGTGTAGGTTTGACAGCACGCTGAACAAGACGCCTCTGTGGTTTTCGTAAAAATGGAAAAGCAGGAAAATCGTGCTGTCATCAAATACTTTTATTTGAAGGGGTTAACGCCGAAGGAAATTAAAAAAGAGATGGACTCAACACTGGGGACATCCTCCCCGTCATATTCAACCGTTAAGCAGTGGGTTTCCGAGTTTAAAAAGGGTCGTGTGAGCACCTCTGATGGGCCTCGCTCAGGACGCCCCGTTGAGGTCACAACTCCAGATATGATCGAAAAAATTCATCAAATAGTGCTGGGAGACCGCAGATTGAAAGTGCGTGAGATAGCTGAGACCTGTAAGATGTCATATGAACGTGTGCAACATATTTTGCACCAACATTTGCATATGGAAAAGCTCTGTGCAAGATGGGTGCCGCGTTTGCTAACAGTCGACCAAAAATTGATTCGAAAAAACATTTCTACCGCAAATTTGTCATTGTATAAGCGTAATCCAAGCGAATTTTTGCGTCGATTCGTAACCGTTGACGAAACGTGGGTCCACCACTACACTCCTGAAACCAAAGAACAGTCTAAACAGTGGATTGGACCAGGGGAACCAACTCCAAAGAAGGCAAAAACAATTTTTTCGGCGAACAAGGTTATGGCTACTGTTTTTTGGGATGCAAGAGGTATTATATACATTGATTACCTTGCAAAGGGTAATACTATCACTGGTCAATACTACGCAGACTTATTGCAACGTTTGAGCCACGAGGTGAAAATTAAACGACCTCATCTGGCGAAGAAAAAAATCTTGTTTCATCACGATAACGCACCAGCGCACACGTCAATCGTTGCGACGGCTAAAATCAACGATCTAAAGTTTGAATTGATGCCGCACCCTCCTTACTCTCCAGACCTAGCCCCGAGTGACTATTTTCTGTTCCCTAATCTCAAAAAATGGCTTGGCGGTAAGAGATTTGCGGACAATGAAGAAGTAATCGAAGCTGTAAATGGTTATTTTGAGGAGCTTGACGAATCAGTCTATAGAGATGGCATTAATAGACTGGAACACCGCTATGAGAAATGTATCAGCCTTGGAGGAGATTATGTTGAGAAATAAAAAAAAAAAATTTTTAAAAACCTTGTTTTTCTTGGTCAGGCCGGAAACTTATCAATCCACCCTCGTATATTCGATTTTCGATTTTTTTGTGGCGTTATGTGGGTACTCGTGTCTCTCACTTATATAGACAAGTTCGGTCATGTTGAATGTTTAGTTAATTTTTGGCAGCTGCTTTGCTTGCACGTATTTTGGGTCGTCTTCGATTTTTGCCTATTCCAAAAAATTGATCAAAGAATCTGTATCAAATTTTGTGCGAAAAAACAAAACATTCCGAATGTTCACTGTGGTGAAGCTACCTTGTACCGAAGCCACGTTTATCGGTGGTACAAAATTTTCTCTAAGGGCCGAGAAGATGTGAACGACGAAGAGCGCTCCGGACGCCCGAGCACGTCAACAACGGACGAAAACATTGATGAAATGAAAATAGTACTGGCCAGTCTGTCCACGACGACCCAAATTTGCTTCAGAGGGTCATAACTAGTGACGAATCATGGGTTTATGATTATGACGACCAAAGCTCAATGATCCCAATGGAAGCTGCCGTACGAGCCAAGACCGAAAAAAGCGCGCCAAGTTAGGTCGAATGTGAAGGTTTTGCTTACAGTTTTCTTACAGGAACGTAGTGCATCATGAGTTCTTGCCACATGGTAGAACGGTTACTAAGGAATATTACCTGCAAGTTGTGCGCAATTTGCGCGAAGTAATCCGCCAGAAACGCCCGGATTTGTGCTTTTGCACCATGATAACGCCCTGTTCCAACATCGTTGCTTGTGCGAGAATTTTCAGACAAAAATAACACACTTATAATGCCGCAGCCACCGTATTCTCCAGATCTGGCCCCTTGTGACTTTTTTCCCGAAACCGAGAAAGCCCATGAAAGGACGACGCTACCCTACGATTGAGAAGATAAAGAAGGCATCGAGGAAGGAACTGAACAAAATCATAAAATATGATTTTTTGAAGTGCTTCGAGGATTGGAAAAAACTTTGGCACAAGTGTATAATATCTGGTGGGGATTGCTTTGAAGGGGACAAAATAGATATACGTGAATAAATAAATAAATTTTGAAAAAACACAAAATTCGCAATACTTTTTGAACAGACCTCATAAGAAAAGGTTATTAAACCAAGAGGACTTTCCTCAAATACAACAAAAGAGGAAACGCGGACACATATTTCACTCGCTTATAGATTGTGAGCATTTTCAGTGCTGTGGTGTTTGGGAGTAAATCCTCGCTACAATTTCCTTTTATATTTTTATTTTTAAGAAAAGTTCATATTACTATAACATAGTTTATGAGAAATTTATTGTATAACGTAATTTGAGATATCCAACCACGAAAGACTATTTTTTCTAAAATTCCCTAGCAAGTAACGGGTTAGCTGTTTACCCTACATCTCGGATGATACTGATTATCTACGATCTCCGAAAATATTTGCCATGTCTCCTGAAATGCCATATATCTATAGATAATGATAATTTAATTGATGTTACACAGATTTATATTTGTGTATTATATTGATAAAGAAAGATAAATAAAGCTTCAGTGCTCCTGGTCATTTCACATTTCGTTAATAATAATTCGCACTTAAAATTTTCTTGATATTACACCAGCCAGCAATAAAAAATACTGTCGCTCTTTTATTACTGCAAGACTTCACTGTTCTTTTTGTAGTGTCATTTGGCGGAATTGCGGGACTTTTCCTGGGCTGTAGTTTATTGTCTGGGGTTGAAACTGTATATTTCTTCACTATAAGAGCCGTGTGTATGATATTTTCCGAAAGAAAGAGACTCGAAGACATAAGAAGGAGAAGAGTATTAGAACCCGTTCCGGATTACGATCTTAGTTTGACTCCATACTTCATAAAGCCGCCATCGCCCGGAAATGGGACAAATGAAATACTGAAGAGGTTTTATCCGGACATGTCGAATGAATATGCGCTGGTAATAAGAATGGTAACGGCTAGGGATTTACGTGAAACAAAATTGGGGTCAACACTTTGCAAATATATTTTAAGCTGACAGATGAAGTCGACGAAATGAGTCATAAATAGTACATTACGTATCGAGGGAAGAAACAGGGTTATTTCAGACTGCATGTGAATTGCTGTCATGCAGTCTGAGACAACCCTGTTTCTTCCCGAGGTACGTATACTATTTTTTGTCATGTTTGTGCGGAAAGGTCGTCATTAAATTGATAGTTGGCGAAATAACAGTAAATAACTTAGAGGTTAGAAAGACATTGTCATTGAACAACTGATTTTTGCGCATGCCCATAAACTTCAGCGCATGCGCTCAAAAGACTAATTTCATTGTCTCCCGACTAAACCACGGCTGAAAAGAGGCCATTTCTTCCCTATTTCATAGCACGCAAAACGAGCTTTCCGCGCTAACATGACAAAAAATTTCTTTTAAGTGGTTGAAAACAGGTGTATTTGTGTTTTTTTGTTTTTTACTATGATTTTTTCATGCCTAGAGCAACGAGAACACATGCACATGAAACGTAAGGGCGTCACTATGACGTATAACTCGAAAGTTCGTTGCGCAGTAAAGGAGTACGCATTCGATTTTCGTTTGGCTTTCAATGCGCGCATTCTAGCAACTTATGTTTGAAAAATACGTATTCTTGTAAGAAAAACGAACGAACAAGGTTTTATGCATTGCAAACGGTAATATTGTGACTAATGCGCGATATTTTATTGCGCAGTAGACTCGTATTTTCTATCCATTATTATTTATGACATTTTTCAAATCCATTTGCTCCTAATTACGTATTTTTCTTATGTACAGCCTTCTTGATATTGCTAAAATACAGACAACTATCTAACTCACACACACCAATTTTTTAACATTATTAGGTTGCTTCACTAAAAAGCAAATAGCCGTGTACAAACCGAAGGTTGTAGGTATGTAAATATTTCGTTTATCACGGGAATCGAGACTCCAAGATTTTTTCCGCTTGTTCCGAATATGCTCTAAATTTCCCTACAAAATTAGCCCCCAAAACATACCAATTACCATTGTATTCATCATTATATGGTCGTCAGTCCTAAGAATGGTTAGACACGTACCTCCACTCTTTCCTATCCTGAGCTGATCTTCGCATTTCCCTAAAACCAGAACAACCCACATCCTTAATTACTTGTGAACAGTAATCTAATCTAGGCGTACCTCTACCCTTCCTAATCCCCGTTTCTGCCTCTAATATGCCTCTACTAGACCTTCATGCCTGAGAAGGTGTCCCACCAACCTATCTCGCCTATTTTTTATTGACTTCCCTAGAGTCCTCTGTTCTCCTATTCTTTCTAATACTTCTTCATTTCTCACCTTCTTTATCCATGGTATCTTTATCTTTGCCTGTAACACACATTTCGAACGCTTCTAACCTTTCCTTTTCCACCGCGCTCATCGTCTAGGTTTTGCACCCGTACAGAGCCACGCTCCAACCATACAACTTTAACAATTCCTTTTGAATTTCTAAATTAACTGTTTGCGAGCATAGGAGTGACATATTTTTATTGAAGACAACCCAGCGTCATCCTCCTCCCTTCTACTCGTTCCGTCCTGACTTATCTGACTTCCCTGATACCTAAACTCAGCCACTTCTTCTAATTTTTCGTCTCCTATCTTTATATTCGCTCTTTCCCTTCTTTTTCTTCCCTTGCATACCAGTATTTTAGTTTTACTTTTATTTATTTTCATACAGTACTGATCTGTCAGTACCGCTTCCATTTTATTTAAAGCTATCTCTAACTCCTCCTTGCTAGATGCTAATACTGCTATAACTGCAAAATCTAAGCTTACTAATCTTTTGCCCCTGTATATCTATCCCTACAGTTGTACCGTCTTTAATAATGCTAATCGCGTCTTTGACGTATAGGTTAAAAAGTAGCAGTGACAGTGTGCATCCCTATCTGACTCCCTTCCTAATATTTATTTCTCCACGTTGCTGCTCAATAACTGCCTGTCGCTCTTTATACAAACTAAGTATCACTTTTATTTCTATAACTAAACTTTTAAGTATATTACAGTTGAATTTTTTTTTATGATAGAACTACAAATTTACAGTTTGGATGTTATAATTCCTATTCCATTTGAAGTACGGAACCTTAAAAAAGCGTGAATGAATAAAATTAAGGCCTAGGACGTTATTCAAATATTCAATGGATCCTAAAATTGACCTAATTTTTTGAAATCGATACGTCTTGTATTATGTATATTATTAGTAAATGATTTCAGAATTTCATTTAAAATAACTGACTTCATCAGGGAAAACCATGTTCACTCAGATTCATTTGGCCGAAATTAATTTACTTATGTACTTATAAGCACTTCCTTTTACTCCCTTAATTACCTGAAGTTAGTTAGGATTTTAATTAAATCTCTAGATTTCGTTTGAATTCGAAAATTTTCGATTAAAAGCGGTTTTTGTTATTACTCTGTGACATTATATTATATAGTGTGGTTCAACATAGTCGAAGCTACTAAAAAAGAAATTTTCTACCTAATGAATTTTTTTTAATTAACTCAATGTTATTTTATATTTTGTTTTGTCACATTGTGACTTCGAAATTCTGAATTTCAAGGAATTGTTGCACGATTTATTTTTCAGAAAACGTTATTTATTCGAGTGAAACCGGCAGGGCAAGGAAAGAAGCCGAAACATCCGATTGAAAACATCAAACCACCTTTTGGAATTGAATTTCTCAATTAACAGTGTAGGTACATACTACAATACGTGAGTGAGAAAATTAAAAAATTTGTGTTTTTAATTGAATCTTTTTCACTTTATTCTTTGTAAGTAATGAGTATTCATTTCTTGTTTGAAATACCTACGTGTAGTAAATTAATAGAAAATTAAGTAAAATTTGTAGTGTATTTTGCATTGTTCTGAATAAATTTTTAAAAACATGCCTGTACATAATTTGAATGTTAAAAAAGTTAAAAAATGTAGTATGCTCAATGAAAAAACAAATAAAGAAAGAAAAACACTTGTATTGTAACTCACAACTTCGAGCGAAATTTCGAGCTTTGTATTGAGTTAACCATCAGTATGATAACATAGGCTTTCACGGTCGGAATCCTTGGTACAATTATAATTCGGGCTGAAGGACCGTGGTTTAAATAAACTGTTAAGTTTAGGCGTTTCGTTAGCAACTGCGGCTGACATATTTACTGTTACTGCGTCGCAACATAGACAAAGATTATACCTCTGGATCACGACAGCGCCCCTTTTGTGAACAAAATACCCCTGCAGACGTCAACCGAAGTTGCCGACGAAACGTCTCGAACTAACAGTTCGTGGTCTAAATGAACATGCATGTCTGCGATTCAATTGTATTGGGTTAGGTTAGAATTATGTTGGATAAGTTTTGTTTGCATCGTGTAAACTTCGTTTGTGTTGTCTTTTTAAAATTAATGCATTCATTCGATTGGTTGGGATCATAAGGTTACGGTAGGTAAAGACAACACGAACAAAATGAGTGTTGAGTTGTATACAATTCCTAGGAAACGTATACAATTCCGAGGCGATTTAGGAAATCTATAAAATATTGTTTTAAAAATTTTAATGCACGCATATCCTGAGAAATGTATACATTTCCTAATAATTGTGTGAAATTCCGATATTGTACTAGGAAATGTATAAAACGGGCAGGGGAGTTAAAGAAACTCCAGTCTGTCATAAGTCTCCCTAACCAAACAATGACGCAATATGAAGATTGGAAAAACTTTGGCGGTTGTTGTAGAACAAACAGAATAGCTCAAAACCCCAACGCCAAAACACGACACTGAAGCACTTTTCGGTAACAAAGTTACCTTCTTCAGGGACTGAAGTAAACTAAACCTAAATGAGAACTAATCCTAATTTATACTGATAGTTGTTAAGGTTCAGTGAACATGACCCGAAGCCAACAAGGTAGATGTTCAATGGACCTTAACATCATCATCATAAACGTAATTAAACTAAACTAAATAGCGGAGATCCAGGGATGGGACCGTTGTCATTGTTAAGAACAATTTGTTTATTTTTATAAATGTATAAACTTTCAAAACTGTTTAGTNTTTACTTCAGTCCCTGAAGAAGGTAACTTTGTTACCGAAAAGTGCTTCGGACAACTACAGTGTCGTGTTTTGGCGTTGGGGTTTTGAGCTATTCTGTTTGTTCTAAAACAATGACCCCACCAATGGATATAGGTACATCTCCAAACAGTGTGCCGTATTATAGCCCATTTGGTATTACCTGTAATACATTTCCGATTGCTATTTAGGAAATGTGTCTAATATAATTTATTTTCTGGGAATTGTATACAATGACTAGGGTTGCCACCTTTTCAGGCTTTACATAAAGTATTTCTCGACTAAAAGGTTAAAGTATTTTATTTTTTGTTTTTAAACATATTTTATCCGGTACTAAGTACTATCTGGCGCTAGGGGAATTTTCATAAAATTGCCTAAGGTTAGGTTGGGATTGAGAATAGTTAGATTAGATTGCGATTCAATAAGCAATTTGAGTTACAAGTTTCAAAAACCATGACATCTACTACCCTTGAGAGGCGGTAATGTGTCGTTGCCCGGGGCGGATCGTCCCTACCGCTACCCCCTATTCACACACCTGTATGAAAGCAAAACTATCAATTTAAAATTTCAAAATCGTTTTATTGTGCTACACAAAATACTTAACAATGATTCCAATGAAATAAATAGGTACCTACCAAAATTAAATTATACTACATACATAATTACAATANATTAATTTTACGGAAAATTTAATGTTAATTGCTACAATTTGAAATTAAGTTAAAGAAATGTTCATTAATTTTCGTAGTTATACATCGTTATGAATGTCAACAATTTAATCAATATGCTAATTACTATTGCTTAGTTATATATTGTTAGATTTGCAGACTTGAAGCTAAGGAATTAGCTTGAGTTAATATACATGGCATCCCGATTTCAGCCAGGCCAAACTAGTTATTAAACTTCAAATCAGGACAATTTACACCAACTATATGTAACTTATTTATTTATCACTAACTTCTTTTTTCATGGTGAATAACATTATCTCTTGCTACAAGTCATTACTTGTTGTAACTCATTTGTGGCTACTTTAAATTCTCACAATTTCAAATTTAATTTTACCAAGTTTCTGAATAAGCTACTCTGGTCTAGGCAAAACTGGTTTATCCTGACAGATTCAGGAAAAACCAGTTTGGATTAGGACAAACTAATTCATTGGACTAGGACAAACTGATCTATCTTATCGCTCTTAAGAACAATTGATTTGCAAAACTGGCTGAAATCGGGGTTAGCCAGAGCCAGATTCAGAAAATACCAGTTTGGAGTAGGTCAAAATTTGGCCTTCACAAAACTAGTTTATCCTGAAATCCAGTTTACAAGTATTTATACAAAGTGTCACAATCGCAAGTCGATAACTAACGAGACACCCTGTACAACTACAATGATGCTGTTATTTTGTTTCGACATTATCAGTCATTATCAACTAATATGCAAAAAAAGTGAATTTGGATAAATAAAATGAAAAACACTAATACTACTAACTTAGTTCAATATTCCTTGACACAACAAACACCATCATCATACATTATGTAATCATTAGTCAGTCCGTAGCAATAATTACGCTAAGAAAATAATAAAGAAAGGCTACTAGTTAAAATTTTATTCTTCGATTGGGAGAAAGTAGAAATTTATACACATTATAATCCATTTATTATTTTATCACAATCTTCCAACTAATTATTACTGAGGATCAAAATTATTATTAATTACACTTAAGGTTAATCAATTAATATACTTACATAAATCTTTTAACCATCCCTAGCACACTTTACCTATATAACAAAATATTATATTTATGCAATAACAAATATATTTTGTATTATTTGTCTACTTTATTTTATCTAGCAGAGAACTATACAAATACGTTTCTATAACCTAATATCCCATTTTCATCATATTGCTTTTACTTTTAAATGGGAAAATGTTTTTTAAGGTAAGTACCACATTTATATAAGTCCTATTCAAATTATAATATGCCCAATTTTTTACAATTTTAATTTGAGTTTAAATTTATGGGATGTTATTACACGTCGAATATACCGAATTTTTTAATAATAATAACTCACTAAAAGATATGTAATAACAATAATTATTATTTAGCAGAATATGCAGCAACTAAATCATTGACTAGTTTTTGAACTTGCCGACTCAAAGTTGATAATAATTTTTTACAAACATAACTATGAATCTCATATTACAATAATTATATGTTCATACAAAACAAGAAAAAGCTAATAATATTATTATCAATAATCGAAAAATAAAACAAAATATTACTACTGCCAAAGATTGAAAATTTAGTTTCAAATATTTAATATCTTTTAGATTGTAAAATGTATCGTCATAATGTCGACGATCCCTTCGGACGGGGCATGAAAAGGTTTTTTAAGGGAGGGTGGACATTTACCAAAAATAAAGTCTTCACACAATTTGTTTTTTAAGAATTTTAAGAGTGTTATTTTAAAGAGATTGCTATTAAATAAACATGAAACAGAAAGAAACGAGAGTGAATGAGGGTCATTTTTGACCAATTTTGAGCACGCAACTACCCCATATACTAAAGTTGAACTGACCACTTTTTATACTACCTCAAGATAAAAAAAAAGAAACTATAAACTTTTTTGTGTCTTTAATTCCGGACTACTCCGGAGAGTAGCTGCGGAAAGACCTCATCAGTTGGTTTTTAGAAATCTTGGCAATGAGTGAATGGTGGTTGGAATGAGAAAGATAAGATGAACGAAATGTGAAGGAGGAATATTATTACTGCACTAGCATTTGTCTGTGTGATCCAAGAAAACCACAGAAAAACCTGGACGAAGCAGGCGAACCCAGAATCGAACCGATATGCTAAGTCTATACTTCTAGGCCATGTCACCCTGTCCTCAAGATATGCAATTCCTTACTTTTTATATGTAAATGGACAATGCAAGTGGAAGATATGGTGTTACAGGAGGATGATGAAAATACCGTAAATAGAAATGGTTAGAAATGAGACAATGGAAAAAGTAGGACAACAGGGGGCAGCCAATAAGAAAAAGGACAGACAGAATTGTAGGACACTTTGTGAGATAAGAAGAGATAATTAGAGACATATTAGAAGCAAAAACAGAATTAAAGAGCAATAGAGAGAAAGGCCTCCATTCGTAAATAGTTGGAGATAATGGATGCTCTAATTTTCTGGAAATGCCAAGTAGGAGTAGAAATAAATGGTGGGCGATCTTGTGGTGATGATGACAAGTAAAATGTTGAAAATGCTCAACAGTATTTTTTACGATTTATTCCCATTTTGTGAGATTTTGAACAGGGCCCATTTTCACTTTATTTGTATTTAAAGTAATATCTAGTTATTAAGGATTAACATGATGAGAAACTAAGGTGGTAAAAAATTTTGGTAAAATATGTTTAGCAAAATTATAGGTATTATAAAGAGTGGTCAATCTATTTTTAGAATAATTATTTATAGCTCAAACTGGACCAAAAACGGATCTCTTCAGTCCACCTCCTTTCATTTTCTACGAAAATTGTTTTCCATATCATTTATTATTTATATTTTTAAAGAGAAGATATTCTATCTCCCTCCCACCATCTACGCCCCTTGCAAAAGTTAAATTTAAATATTTTTTCGTTTCTCCTTCTCTCTGCCTTGAACCTTCTCAAGACGATGAAGGAAAATTACGATACAAACATGAATTTTTTCCATTCTGGTCGCAATACTTTGACCAAGAATAATTGTTTTATAATAATAATAACATTGACGTTACATTTATTTTTATTTATCAGTAGCGTTAGGATTTGTATAACTGAAGCCCTGAAATTGTGTTTGATCCATAGATTGGAGTATATTCTTATCGATAGGAGTCAACTTGGCCTTTTCTATGGTAAATGTCTTGTCGAAGTATTGAGTATCGAGAGGGTGTTGCTAGAAAAATGGTTTCAATATTTAATATTCCACTGTTTTGGTAGCCACTGCAATCGTTATCAGTGAGTCGAGCGGTTAGTTTTTGACCACGAAAAAGCACTTTTCACACAACACAAAAGTCACATCAAACACTAACTGTATGTTAATAAAAAGCTGTTATAAAATGCACACAAAGTACAATTAGAGTAAGGCTTTCGCGGTTTGAGTCTGCTCTAAGGCAAAATATGTACTGTCTATTTCAATTTGTTAGAATTGTAACCTTGAAGAAATCTGCGCGAAGATAGAAAGAATACACACTAGGCGTGAGCAAGACAGAAATAGTTGGAACAAGCTTGAACGAGCGAAGCTCTCGATGGGCGGTCTTAAAAGATTGGTTAGAACTGTACAGTACTAGACGAAAATGTTTAGCAATTTCTTAAAACAAAAATGTATATAAATTAACAATGGAAAACAAAGCAAAAGTTTTATAGGTTCTTAGAAAGTTAAGTTAATTCACTTGTTATTATTTTTGGCTAAATATGCTTTTAAATAAAGCATATTCTTAAATTTTAATGAGCCAGTTTAAATAATTTTGCAGATGGTACTGTACACTTTTGTTTAGTTCTCGCTCGATGATCGCTGGAGAAATGAGCACCGCAGACAAATATGATTGAATTTGGAATTATGCTACGGCGCATCCTAATAAAGGGTAGGGACATATCTCTAACTTCTTGAAACGAACAATACGTTAATTTCCGACGACTCTTGTGTATGCCCGCGGGCAGGGACCGGCCGATGTTCGGCAACCTTTACACTAAAGACGCGAAAGGTAATAAATCATATTAAGTAAAGTTCAAGGCAATTAAGGGTTGGAAGGTTTTTATTTATAAAGAACTAACACCTACATTTCGCCTCTATCTGGGAGGGTTTTTCAAGGCTACAATATTATAACTTAGTAATGTAGGATATCTTATATTGAATGTACACCTACTAGGTTCTTTAGTTATGTAAGCAAAAGTTCCAAATAGTTCAGTGCTTGTAACTGGTGCATAATATTAAATTTTATAAACCAAATAACTAAGGGATGAAATGGAGAATAGGTAATAAATCATTGCCCATTGCCTGGGTGACATAATTTGCCTGCTTAACAATAGGAGTTCCAGAATTCTCGATAATGAAAGCTGTTCGGGGAATCTAGAGTGGCGCAGCTAGTCGGAGTTTTAGGTTTAAAATCATTTAGGATTATCACGATTAAGGGTTTTAGTGGATTTTGAGGTATTTTTGAGATTATGTCCAAATCCTGACGTGTTAGATTTACCATGAATTTGGATTCATTCATCCCAAAAACATATGGTATACATAGTCAGACCCTCTAGGTCGAAAAATTGTTGTTTTTTGTCGCTGTGTAATCAACCAAGTAATATGCGCCCTTCTTGTTCGAAACTAAACTGAGTGTATGTTAACATTAACATTTTTTAATTAATTGATAAAAAGCATCCACAAAACTATGAAACATCTGTTTTGTCTACATCTGTCACCACTTTAATACTTTCAATCGTTCAATTTAAAGAAAATAAATATGTTTTTAATTAAAGCTTAATAAGTTTTTAGAATGCGAAACTAAAATCCCAGTTATCTTCACCTTTTTTTTTCTGAAATGTGGCGTAAGAACAATATATTTAGATATAGACAACATATGAATTTTGAATAGAACATTTCACTGTTCGCAATCCACATTAGAAAACAGTGACAATAAGACGTAAGCAGTTAACTAAAGAGAAGAGACGTTTACAGCAAGTTACCATCTGAGACAGAAGGGGAGATTTTTCCTCTAAGACGGTAAAATATGTCCGTATGAGTAAATGATCGGTAATCACGTAAAAAAATTGATGACCATGGTAAATTGCTGAAGAAGCATGTCGCCTGGATTTTCATGTAATAACTACTGATGCATCCATATATACCATGAAAAAGTTACGTCACTGATTTGGTGAAAAACTAGACTTACATTTTCACACAGGTATTACGGGTCTCTTCTCTTTCATGGTCTAAGAATACACTCAATAAGACTAGAGATAAGAGTGTAGACTAGATAATTTTTTTAATATATGAGCATCGCTAATTGTAGGTTGTGCTAATAGGGTCGCTGCGCAGGAAGACAGTGCGCATCCGATTTGACGCGTAGGCACGGAGATTTTGTTTACGTTTTGTGTTTCACAACTCTTAATACCAAAACTGATGCCTTCATGAAGCATTTCTCCTGTCTGTAGTCTTGATCTAGTGACATCTGATGTAAATATCTATATATTGTGTCATTTTAACAAGGAATGATGACTTGACAATGTTTAATTCGTTTACGGTTTCTGTATCATTGACATGATCAACGAATTTTAAGAAATGTTGTTTCAGTACCAAATGGATTAAGAATGGAAGCAGCAATAATATTGCGCACACATTAGTTTGTAAGCAGGCAATTGTTTACAGGAAAAAAAAGCAAAACGAAAAGTATGTAAACGACTTACCAGAGCTGGCTTAAAAGGAGGTTCCAGTTGCCTAACTTCTAATCTGTCCCAGGCGATTTGACGGAAGAACGGCTGATCCCTAATGTCTCCCGCTGGACAATCTTTATTCCCTAATCTTTTGCTACCATCTTTTTCTAATAACTGTAAAGTAATAAATATTCAAATGAAGTAATAAAATACATATGCGAAAAACAGTTAAATGTTATATTCTATTCCTTATTACTTTTTGGCTTGCATAAAATTTAATTCCACACCCTGTATTTATTAAACCATTATTACCTTACTAACAAGGAAATCTTCCGAGGGGTTCGTCTTCGATTTAGTTGCGGTTAAAATATGTTAACCTACATCAAAAATAGTGATATGTATTTTTTTGCGGAGAAACGTTTTGAAGGGGTTAAAATAACCGCCGAACTTTACTTCAGAAGTATGATACTCAGGATTCTCATATTTGTAATTGATATTTTCAAAAACGACCGAATGGATTAAATTCTACATGAAAAATGATAAAAACATTATAACACGATAGGAATTATTGCAAATTAATGAAACAAAAAAAATATATAATTTCGAAGGGTTGAAAATTAAGAAAATTCGATTGCAATAATTAGTCCTATTAAAAAATAATTAGTAGATTTTTTGCAATTGAATTTTTTTCATTTTCAACCCTTCAAAATTATATATTTTTTGTTTCATAAATTTGCAATAGAAAGCAGTTTTTATCATTTTTCATGTAGAATTTAATCCATTCGTCGTTATTGAACATATCAATTAAAAATACGTAAGTCCTGAGTATCACCCTTATGGAGTAAACATCGGAGGTTATTTTCACCCCTTAAAAATGTTTTTCCGCAAAGAAACATACGTATTTCATCATTTTTGATGTAGATTAACATATTTTAACCGCAACTAAATCGAAGGCAGACACCTCGAAAGGTTTCCTTGTAAGCCATCACTGGTGTGACTGGAAAATCTTATTTTGATGTTTATAGAAATTACAATTCGTTTGTAACCATGTATTATTAAACAATTGATTTTATCCTTAACGTTGAACAATAATTAAAACTTTTGAAGTGAAACTTCTTTACGCAAGGTAGGGTAAGTTCGTTTCATGCGAGTTGCAATGTAACGAAATCATGCAACGGATGTCCAACCTCTACTCGGCCACGCAGCCGAGTTCGTAGTGGGGATCGCTTGAGCCGTGAGCGCGCTTCAATGCAACGTTCGTTACAGGCAACTCCAGCATGTATAGTGTAAAATTTAAATTCATAGTGTAAAAATAATACCATTAAACCAATTATTTAACCCCTATCCCGGTATGTTTGTGTGTTTGAAGAAGTTTCACTTGAGTAGCGTGTTGTATAATTACACGTTGTTTTTTTTATTGTAATAAGGCAAAATTTCTTTGTATTTTTTATATATCTAGATATTTAGTGTTGTAAGTTACCCTTTTAATTTCGAAAACAACAGAGATACAAAAAGTAATTAATTAAAAAGAACATTGAAGAAGGTTAAAATTGAAAATATATCTAATAATTTTTTCAATTTCTTCTACGCTTTTACGGCTGGGATTAGAAGAAACAGATTAACTTAAAAAGCGGTGTTGGGGTATTCTTTGCTCATTTTTAAACGTTTTACCATTTTTGGGGATGTTGTCTTCAGAGAAGTTAAGCAAAAGACACACCAACACGTTCCAAAAACTCGACCTATGTCATAATAATTTCTATAAATGCAATCAAATTTGTAGTAACATACCAGAGTTAGTATAGAATTAGCTTCTTGTGTCAAGAATCTTGGCAGCACCGGCTTCTCGTTACAAATGGACCAGAAAAGCTCATCTTCATCACAACCACTAAACGGCGATTGACCAATTAACATTTCATAGAGTAAAACGCCAAATGACCACCAATCTACGCTCTGGTTGTAGTGCTGTCCTTTTATAATCTATAATAAAGTGATTAGTTGGGAATAAAATTTCCTCATTATTAAAAACATTTTCAACTTATTAGTTCTCATCAGCTCGCTATTAGTAGTTTCTAACTAAACCAAAGCTACTTCATAAAAGCAAGTTGATATGATATTAAGCTCTAGATGCAGTATATCGTCATATTTCAATTGAAATAGTTACTAGTCAGTAACAAAAATCAATATGTCGATATACTGCCTATAGATTATTTATTATTTCTCATTATTGCTGTATGATACATAATTTTGAGTAATTTTGTTAAATGTTTTGGTTCCGAATATATCGCGTTTACTTTCATCATTGTTAATTGAAAAGGCTTGCTTACTTCTGGTGCCATGTAGTCTGGAGTTCCGCAAAACGTATCGGCCATTCTGTCGAGGAAAATTTGTAATTTACACATACCAAAGTCGGCTATTCTCACATGGCCGTCGAAATCGAGAAGGATATTGTCGAGTTTAAGGTCTCTGTAGCAAGGAAATACATCATTGTAAGTACATTTAGATTAATTTTACGGAAAATTTAATGTTAATTGCTACAATTTGAAATTAAGTTAAAGAAATGTTCATTAATTTTCGTAGTTATACCGTACAACTATTTTAGGCAAAAATGTTTTAAAAAAATGACACTGGTAATAAAGCTTACACATATAGTATATTTTTCAATAGGTTTAGGTAATTCTATATATTTTACAATTTACAGGCAGTGTATTTGTTTTAAAAAGGAGAATGGGCAATTTCTGAACATTCCATTTCCTCAATGTCAAAGTACAAGTATATATATGTCAGATTTCAATTTTATTCGTCATACGATTTCTGAGAAAAAAGATAGGCAGACTGAAGGGGGCATAAATAATCCTGCAAAGGTTAGTGTTCATTTTATTGAGGTACCTAATAAACATTCTATGTAACTGCCGAAGGTACAAAAACAGTCAGTCTTATATTTAGAAATCATTTTGATATATTATTTCAGTTTCAAAAAAGTGTACACGTTAACGAATTCTCCGCAAAAGTCTTCATTCGTCTCGAGAATTGTCGAACTCGGCAAATATGTGTCACTCAGGATATGCTTTATTATCCTCCGCGTCTTTAGTAATTTCGGCATTCGCGAAATTTATTTCGGTTATTTTCTTGAGTTTAATGACCAAGATTCCAGGTCCGCCCGCCCTGTCTTTTTTGTGGTTCCTTCTTTCCTTGGATTATTTAGACAAACTAAGAGGTAATCATATTGTTATCCAATTCTTCAGAAGTCTTCATACTTTTCGAGAATTCTGGAAGTCCTATTGTTAAGCGGCAAATATGTGTCACTCAGGATATGCTTTATTATCCTCCGCGTCTTTAGTGATTTCGGCAGTTTAATGACCAAGATTCCTTGTTCGCCTGCCCTGTCTTTTTTGTGGTTTCCTTCTTTGTTTGGATTATTTAAACAAACTTAGAGGCAATACTAATATTTTTATCGTATTCTCCAGAACAATCTTCATTCTTCTCGAGAATTCTCGAACTTCTATTGTTAAGTGGAAAATATGTGTCACTCAGGATATGATTTATTACCCTCTCCGCCTTTAGTAATTTCGGCATTCTCAAAATTCATTTCGGCCACTTTGTTGTGCCAGCTTAACGGTCAAGATCTATCTGCTAATTTATAATAATTTCGTTTTTCTTCTACTAACACAGCACATCTTGCTCCCTCCTCGCTCTTGGAGTCATCACTAAAGATCTTTTTTGTTTACTTGTATTTATCACAAAATTCCATGAGTAAATTCTCCGCTATTGGCGTTGCTATTGGGTTTTTCTTCAAAACAAAATAAGCTGTTACTGTTTTTGTAAACTAGATCTTAACCAATTTATGGTTTGTTTATATTAACAAAACTTGAGGAGTTCAAGTTTTTTTGCCATCGCTGAAATTAATAACCATTTAGCATTTACGTCTAGTTTAAAAATTTAAGGGCGAGAAATCGGACGAGTTCTGACCTTTTGTTTTACTCTTAATGACTTTTAGTAAAAATTCGTATTCGCATTTTTTTGTGATTACAATGCGCTATTTATCTACCCATTGTATAACCGTCTCTCGGCGACAAAGAGTGAATAATAGCGAACCGTTTTCGTTTTGGCAAGTAAAATTATTACGTACACACCAACAAAATGACACGGCTTCGTAATTCACGTGCTTAGGGCATCAATCCAGTCAATTTCTAACGGAACAGTACAAATGCATTCTGTCAGTCGAATATATTCATCGGTACATTACGAAAACGCACTCAAAGAAACCTTATTTAAAAGAAATAAAAATAGCTGGCTTGCACTAACACTGACAGATTCTAAATCCCAGTGCAATCCCTTCATACATACGTATAAACAACTTCTGCTTTTCGCCCCTACGATAAGATCGACTAGTGCAGAAGTCAAACAAGGCGACAGTAAATAAAAATGGAACTTGTATGTTATTCGTGTAAATAAATGCATTTTCTCTTTCGACTCCCAACTGAAAATCCTCAACAAAAATATTACTTTTTTATTGAATCAAAATATAAATCTTGAGTACGAACATGTGGATGTGGTACGATAAATAATAACTAATTATAGTAATTATACGAGATACATATGCTAAATTTGATTTGGTAAAGCTGTTAAAAATTAGCAGTCAAACAAAACAGACTCTAATTATTAAAAATTTAAAAAAAAAAAATTAACCGTTTTTAAAACCGTCAAAAATCACGCAAATTTAAAAACGCAAATTAACCGTTCGCGAGCATAGAAGTGACTTCTTTATAGAAACGTTATAAAAATTTTATTTTTCATCTAATCATTAATATTCAGCATCTAACTACTTTGCCAAATCAAAATTTGTAGATTGTTATTTAAGTACTGCTCTATGTGAATAACAAACTGCTTCAGACTCCTTAACTAGAGAATAAAATGTAAATACAGTGTAAACTCTATATAACGACACTTAACGGAATGAACATTTTTCGTCGTTCTAAAGAGTGGTCGTTAAAGGGAGAGAAATAAAAGATATTATTTTACTATTCTATAATAATATGCATTTACCAATATAGTACACATTTTGCACACGAACATTATTATTCATACATTGCGTATAGCCTGTTATCTTCGTCTGATGTTTATTGCTGCTCCAGTATTTTAATTGTATTTTGTTACGTATGTCACTCATATCTTGAGATACTGCTAGATCAATTTGATTTTTTTTCCTAATTTCTTATATATCAAAAATTGAAGAGTAAATACAATACGATATCAATACGTAATAAGAAAAATCGATTATTTTCGTATTTAGGTAATGAATTATTTTCAGTAGGTAATACAACAAAACCTGAATCTAAATTTTTTTTTCAGTTCATGCTAATTGATGATTTTAATTTTCTAGTAAATGTATATTTTTGCTACTATTGCTTTTATTATTATCTATTCAAGCATAGAATTTACTAAATATTTTAATAAATTTTCCAGCCTAATTCATGATACGAAAACAAGAGATGGACTACCTGTCATCAATTATGCAAAAAAATTATTCCAATAGTACTATATATTTTATAATTACAAAAATAGTAAATTAATTTTAAACTGTTTGCTATCGTAGAGTTAAAGCATATTTTAAATAGCAATAATATTTTTTAATGAATATTCTTAACTGAAAGCTTTGGCATTGCCGTCCTTTCTCGTTTTCATTTGATATTTTTGTAGCCCTAATTTCCTTCGTTTTAAATGACCCTTATCTAATAATAGCATTATTTTGGACTTTAAAGTCAAAAATAACTTCAACAAATTAACATCTCCCCGCCCAAATCACTTAAGCACCTTATACTTCAAAGTGAGATTAATGAAGTTCACATGTCTCAACTTTGTGGGACGTCGTCCAATATGTTATTGTATAGGCAGGCGGCTCTTCGCTTAGTTGCCTAATATGAAAAACTAATTAGCCATTTTACATTTATTTGCGTAATCTTATAAAATTACCAGAGAAATATCTAAAAAAAAATTAATAAAACTTATTGTGATATTATTATTAACATGTCATTGGTTTATTAAAATTTTTGAATTTTTTACAAAAAGATGACACGCGAGCAGTTGGAGTTTGGTTCCCGGGAGATGCAATATATTTTTTTTATGTTAGGTAAACTAAATTGGTCGAATGCGATATCAGTTTTCATCGATCAAACATGGAATCTTACACATAAAAGAACGTTCTTAATTGAATATCAAAAGTATTTTAACTAACAATTAACAACACCCGTGCTGCTTCCTTTATTTTTGAGCAATATTAATGTCGAAGATTTTGGGAAACTCGGTAGTCGTGAATAAAACTGATGTGTAGTCGTATGAATTATTTTAATTTCTTTTTTTATTTGATTTTGAGAAGTGAGGAGAACTAGAGGACCTTTCAATCTGTTATATCTCGACCGACTATCCAGAGTTATCCAAGATAACACGTGTTCCCATAACAGAATCACGCCACGCATCGCAAGATGTCACGCCACGCGAGGTATGGCGTGTTTCGCACAGATTGCAGTATCAGCCAATTTAAATTATAAATACAGGTGCATCTTCACCTGTACTGTACTTTTACTTTTAAGACTTGTAATGTCCGACTAACTTCCGCCCATAGGGTATTGTTAGTAAGTAATTGTCAAAAGGTGTTTTTTTT